CTCTCTCTCTCTCTCTCTCTCTCTCTCTCTCTCTCTCTCTCTCTCTCTCTCTCTCTCTCTCTCAGGACGGTTTAAGATAGAATAAGATAGATATATATAAAATAGAATGAGCTGCATGGATATTTCGTATTTTATTTTTTATGACGGACCAATTTTTTACATGAGGATTTCTAGAGTAAAGTACTCACCGACATAATCGGGCGTGCCCAAAATTTCTCGTATGTCTGCTCCGTGACTGATGTACCGTGATATGCCAAAGTCGCATAGCTTTACGTCGCAGTCTGGAAATTCTCCAGTAAGTACCAAATTCTGTGGCTGAAACATTAAAAAAAAAGGAGAGAGATAAAGAGTGATTCAATGTCATTGACGAAAGGAAGGCTATTACTAAAATAAGATGGCTACAAAGTAGATTGTGACTGTTTTAACTGTACGTTTATATATCGTGCGCTTGTAATTTCTCGAAATTTCCTTAAAGACGGTCCAAGACGTATAAGCGTTGTGAAACGCGAGCGAGAAGAAAAAGAAGCGAGCAGGTTTTATCTCGTGGTAATCTCCGTGCGACAATGCCAATTTCCTGCCGCGAGATAATATGGAGAAAGTAAAGCTTCCTTTCAGGACGGTCGCATGACGATTGCTCTCCGGCATGTTCTCTCTCCCTTGGCCGTTAACATGGACAAAGCAGCCCCAGGTGTTTTCGTGGTCTCGGTCAATTATCAGAAGCACGCAAGCGGGCCGAGACACTTTTTCTACATCGTACAACATCTCAGGAATTTCGGCGCCACCATGTAAATATAGTAGTAAATTACACGGCTTATAATTACACCCATAATTATAAGCCGTGTAACCATCTTTAAAGAGTAGAGACATACGCTCATGCGATATTGTTAGTTCACGACTTGCGGTTTAATTGTAGCTGGCGCGGCCTCAAGCCGATCTCACATCTCGGCAGAATTTTAATTCAAGTCCTAATTACTGGAAGACCGCCCGATACACCGCAACTTCAAACAGAGTTCTGAAAAATAATAACTTCCGCGTCGACTGTTCGCGATAGAGATTTTTGCCGGGGCGCCGGTGGATGATTAATCATCAGAAGGGGCGAGGCGGAGAAAGGCAAAGGCGGGACGTAATGCACAAGACATTCTTTTTTTTTTTTCCGATGATCAGGTGGAAGAGGGGCAACGAACGTCCACATTACAATAACATGAGTCCGCGTAGGCGTCTCGCGCGAGGCATAATACCTGGACGTAAACGATTCCGCGATAAGAAAGGTCGTCGCGTGGCCTAGGTGCAACTCTCGTTGCCCACATGACATCGTTTCTTCCTCTCGCATTTCGCGCCGACTCTTTCCTCGAAAAACAATCGAACAATACCGAAGCTGCTGCGGATAAAGGCTACGGACGAGGTTCGAGTCCTCCGAGAAGAACGAGAGATGAGAGGAAGCTCGTTGCTGATCCATTGTCAACGCTCCGTGGCTGGTTTACGACCACCTAGGTTGCTCGAGAATTATGTCTTCAGTACCGGGTCGCGACTCTTAAAGGATGCCATTATTGATACGCTTTATTAAGGAAAACACGTGCGATGGTAAATCATTTGCACTGAAAAAAAGTATGGTATTATTTTAATTGAAAATAATTTTGTTGATTTATAACAACAATATTAATGAAACAAATTTTTATTAAAACAAGAGCATGAGTATTTGTTTGATAAATAGGATTACTGTTAACAAAATAATTTTCAATTAAAATAATGCCGATATAACATCATTTTTTTTCAGTATGATCACGTTTTGCCAGGTCACTTGCTCTTTTCGGTACGCGCGAAAGAAAGAAAGCCGTTGGGGAAGCCGACAACTCTGTTTCATTCGAATGTTTATGCGCAGATGTTTGTTACCCAGCTTGCGAAGGGCCTAATGAAAGAGTGCGAGTCACAATTATGCTCATGGGAGTGATGAAAGTTGTCGGCCCTACTACCCATAAAAAAAGAGGAGTTAAAAATTGGATTAGGGTGAGACTGAGACGGACGCAAGGGTAAATGTAGGCCTATTCAGACCTTCCGTTTATTGTCGTATTGTTAATACTGTGCGATTTGTATTAATAGCACCCAGCTTGAAGAACTGGAAATATCGAAACACGGTAGCTCTATAAGATAAGTGTGTAATAAGTATAATAAATATTATTTTAAGCCGACTTACTCAACCATCGATCCGTGAACAACTGACTTTAAGTAAAAGATCACTTTTGTTTTTATGTTCTTATATGTCTCGCGAATATCGACAAACAGGACGATGATTATAATAAGTATAATAAGTGTTATTACGATTTACAACCAGCGTAGATCAGCGAATAGCTTATTTTAAAGAAAATGCCACTTTTATGTTATTATGTGTCTCGTGACTCGACAAGCAAGATGATAATTATCGAAAGTTCAGACGCATAACTGATATTGATATAATTTTTTATAATAAATCGCCATATTACAAGAGAGCGACGATGCGTTAAATGATACGGATTATAATAAATATTATAGTAAGTATACTCCAGTAGTCAAATTCGAAAAAAAAAACTCGCCCCGGATAGTCGAGAGACTCAAACTGGTTGGGGTATATATTTTTCGTAATAAGTTCTATTCAGTGTTTTAAGATGCTTGTTAATATCATTATTAAATCGACGATCATTTATGATATTATTATATTATTATCTCAACTTCAGTGTATGATTGTGTTTCCAACAGTAAGCGGCACATAGTTACATAATCTAACTAAAAAATGTATTTAAAATTTATAAATCAACAATTACATATACTATATATACAATTTAAAATTTACATACAAATAGTATTAGGCACTAAAATCTAATCTCGATCGTATTACTCCTTCACTTACTTGATTTATAAACGTCCACTGAGAATGGCGGTTAATAAAGATTGAAAACTTAACGATAAATTCAAGTAAAGTGTCATTATTCTTGTCGCAGGTGATGCAGAATTTGCGTGATCGATGATACTATTTTTTGTTGAATCGAGCGCAAGAAATTGCAATTCATGCCCAACCTCATGACATATTCCTGCTCCCCGACGTGAAGTCGATAAATTTAAATAACGTCCACGGCTTTCCGATGCAGAATTTTTGCACGTGATGGCGCAGAGGACTGCCGGAATCGAAGACGGAGAACACTGTGTTAGTGTACGATGCATACAAGATGCGACGAGGATAATTTTCGTAGTAATCGATCGACTCGCCCACATCCAATCACAAGGCCGAGAACCGACGTCGACGCTCGAGAAACCCGGCTGCAAACTTCGCGTGTAATGGTTAATTATGGAAATGTCTTTGTTCCTTATTAGAGACACTTCCTGAACCCGAAGCGTGAGCTCGAGATTGATTCCTACGCAACGCGCGTGCATACATCGAAAGGAAAACGCGACGGAGCCATGAATGACTCTGATTTTCCGGTTTCCAGAGAAATTATTAGTCGTTTCAATTATCCGGAAGACAGACGGCGAAATCTCGTAACAGCGTAATGAGAATTTACTAGCTAATTTGCGATAATATTACGACATTAATAAAAATATATAACACGGAAAATACGGTTTGGCTAAAGTGTCTAATTTAGTTAGATACAAATTTGAAAATAATATTGTTTAGACCATAAATAATTATACAGGATGCTCACACTAATTGATAGAACGTTCAAACTTTTTGCAACACTTATCAACGCTTAACCGTTCTACATAATCATTTTAATGATCCAACAAAATTATTTTCAGATTTGTATCTAGCTGAATTTTTACATACTTCAGCAAAACTTACATATTTTATACTTTCCGTATAGATAAACGGATATTTTATTAATTTTAAAATTCTTTTAGAGATACAAATCTTAATTATACATTCTCTCTTTGAAAGTATAAAGGATCTAGCAAGTGGAATAAGAATAAGCGTATAAATTATAAGAAAGATGGAACGCACAAAAATTGAGAAATTAGGACGATGTCGCTTTTTCAGCCAAAGATAGCCTCATTCTAGTTGAAATTTCGAAACAGAGACAAAACGTGACACAAAGAAAAACCAACCTGCAACCTCATGGCGTTACGGAGTCATTTTTGAATCGCATTATTCGTCGTACGTCAAGTAGCTCATGATGAATCCCAGTCACGTTCGACTCGTAACTTGATTTAACGAAACGTAACACACAAACTGAATCCTCGAGCGTGTCGAGTGCCTTTGTTCCATCCACATCCTTTTACAAACGCGAGACGTTCGTTGCCCGATAAATCCTCGCTCCAAATTTCGACGGCTGCGCGTACCAAATTCAAACCCAACTTTAATTGTCGATCTTCAATTATTCATCTTGTTACGTGCGAAAGCGTGTTACATGAACACGCGAATGAATCAGTCCTCATTTGAATAGTAATTCAAATCCTGTTTAGTTTGCGCGAAAGTGACGCACGGGCACATACACGGAAAGAACGACTTTACTAAAGTATCAAAAAATTTAACTTGTAGATACAGACCTGAAAATAATTTTGTTGCGCCATTAAAATAGTTATATAAAAATCATGCTGTAGAAAGTTTTGATAATTTTTATAGCAACCAACTTGAGCGCGTTCTATGTAATTATTTTGATGGTCCAAAATATTCAAATCTGTATCCAACTAATTTTTAGATACTTTTGCAAAATTGTTAATGATTTTGCAAAATTATCCAAAAATTCCTTTTCGTGTAGGAATTCCGACGCAGAGCGCGTTCGAAGAGCCTTCAGCTTCGCCAAACGCATTCTCGCACTGAAAGAAAAAGTTAGCTGCTGCAGCAAATTAGATGGTAAAATATGGCATAGCATTTCTAACTGGCTGCAGCAGCCAATTTTTGGTTGTAGCAGCCAATTTTTGATTGCGTTAGCCTATCTGCAATATCAATACAGGATTTCGATAGGTTAAGGAGATGCTGGAGGGATCCAATTATCGACATTGCAGTTTGATCAAAATCTCCGAATTGACTAAATGGAATAAAAAATCCTTTTACAGGATTAAAGTAAACGCAAAATCCTGACGTGGTGCAGTGGATTTTATATTAAAATAAAAAAAAAGTTAAAAAAATTTTTTACTTTTTTTCGATTTTAGTATAACATCCACTGCACCACGTCAGGATTTGGCGCTTACTTTAATCCTGTAAAAGGATTTTTTATTCCATTTAGTCAATTCGGAGATTTTGATCAAACTGCAATGTCGATAATTGAGTCCCTCCAGCATCCCCTTAATGCAACCAAAAATTGGCTGCTGCAATCAATTAAAAATGCTATGCCATATTCAGCCAATCT